AGAAAGAACCAAAACGGCCCTTTTCAGGGCCACAAAATATATTACCAAAAGAAACTACATTTTCAATATACCATTTGTCCTAAATATGTAACGATAAAATTAGTCTTTGTTTTTATATTTTAAAAATTAGGGATATATACCTAAGCTACGCTATATAATTTATAATTATTATTATATTATTCTTATGCATGGAAAAGGGCATGCCAAGAAGAAATCGCCTCAACCTAGATTGCACTGCGTTGCTAACTTTTGGTCAGCAATATTAAATTAAATTTAAAGATGTTACCAGCAGCACAATTTGTCAATTAAAAAATATTAAATTTGTATAAATTAATTGATTTATAAGCTTAATGACTATAATTTGAATGTTTTTGAATTGAAAGTTTTTTTCTCTTGTTAACGAATGTTGTAGCCCTGAAAAGGGCTTGTTTAAACAAATTTCAGATTTGAAAATCTAAAATTGCGATTTTGAGCGCGGACTGGTACAGATACTGTACTTTTCCAGTTTACTTCTTAGCAGCCGTAGTCTTTGCTTTCGGCTTCTTAGCGGTAGCAGGAGCAGCTGCTTTCTTTATCACCTTTTTGGGCTTAGCTGACGCCGCTGGTTTGGCCTTGGGTGCTTTGGCCACCTTCGGTTTCGCTGCGGTAGTTTTGGCCTTTGTTGCTGCTGGTTTTGCCTTCACGGTTCCAGTTTTCTTGGCATCCTTGGCTTTTGCCTTCTCGGTTTTCTTTTTCTCGGCGGTCTTTTTGGTGGCCACAGCCTTCTTAGCTTTGGGCTTCTTGTCAGCAGCTCCGGCAGCTTTCTTGGCGGTGACACCGGTCTTCTTAACGGCTACCTTCTTGCTTTTGACCTTTTTATCAACAGACGCAACTTTTGGCTTGGGATCCTTCTTGGCCGAGGCTGACAGTTTAAATGAACCAGACGCACCCTTTCCCTTTGTTTGGATCAGCTTTCCATTGACCACGGCCGATTTCAAGTACTTCTTGATGAATGGAGCCAGTTTTTGGGCATCGCATTTGTATGTGGCAGTGATATATTTCTTAATTGCCAGAAGCGAAGAGCCGCCACGTTCCTTCAAGTTCTTGATTGAAGCGTCCACCATTTGCTGAGTTGGCGGGTGCGATGGTGGTGCAGTCGGCTTCTTTGCCTTTGTGGCAGCAGATCCAGTTGCCTTTTTGGCAGCCACCTTTTCTCAACTGGCGCTGGTGGGGCAGCCACTGGGGACGCGGACGTTGCAACTGCAGAATCAGACATCTTTGTTCACTCGAAAACACTTTTTGTTTAGAAAATGGCGCGCGCGCTTGCCGCCGACCTCCTTCATTCGGATGAGAATCGAGGAGGAGAGCACTTTAACTATGGGTCTGACACCAGTCATTTGCTGTGCAAATGTTAACTTGAAGTGCAAACTTATTTTCCTGTATTTAGAGTTTAAAAACTTTATTAAAAACAAAGTATTTATTTTTTCACATTCTTAAATAATCCATAAAGTTCTTAGCATTTTTTAAATTTTAATATTTGGTTTTGGCAACCTTTTATAGCTGAATGAACTTGACCATTGACATTTGTAACATGAGCAATTTTTTTTAAAACCTATTTTAAAATAAGAAATCTAACAATTACTTGTACAATTGTCAATTAAAAATGAAATTTAAACTTTTTTCTTTAAAAAACACTGAAAATATACTTACTTTTCATTAAAAAGTTATTTTATTACTTGTTTTAAGTTGAGCCTAGGCTACATAAAAAGTTGGCTTTCAAGGGAGAAGCAGCCATAGTTTTCGGAATGAAAAAAATATAAATATTTTTAAATTTCATAGTTATTTGGGATTTTCTTAAGCAAATTATTTGTTTGCTTTAGTCGATTACATTTTTCAGATGTTTTTATTTGTAGTTTGTCCAAAAGAGGCTTATTTGTGCCTCATATATGAATCAAGTTAAAGTCACATTGAAGATTATGTCAAAAAAAAAATTGAAATTTTATTATATTGTTATTCTTTTTTATTTTATTTATTAAATTACGTATTCGTTAACGTTGCGAAGCTATATTCTGCAAGTGTTTAACATTTTTTCGATTTTTTTGATGACGTTTAAAAGTGCAATAAAGTTCGTGCTTGTCCCATATAACCTTGCCCCTTGTATAATCCCACCAATTACCAACCGAAATAAAAAACACAAAATCTATCTTTTTTAATACATTTGATGTTTTATTAAATAAATATAGGATTCAAAAACGTTGCTAAGTTATTTTTAGAGTGATTTAAACAGTTTTTTGATTTTTCTATAACATTTGAGTGGTTTGTGCCTGTTCCACACAACTTTGCTCCCTATAAAAATCACACTATATTCAAGCCGAAATAAAAATATAAACTTGGTTTCGTTCAAGGCTCAGAAGAACAAATTGTTGTCTTTGTTTAATAAATAAATAATTTATAAACGTTGCAAAGTTATTTTCCGAATGTGTTTTTCAGTTTCTCAATTTTTTAACGACGTTTGAATGTTTAATATAGTTCGTGTTTGTCCCATACAACCGTACCCCTTGTAAAAATCCCACCAAGTACAGACCGAAATAAAAATGTGATCTGTTTTAATATATTTATTGACTCATTAAATAAACAAAGAATTTTAGAGTGATTTTAAAAGTTTTTTAATGACGTTTGAATGCTTATTATAGTTCGTGCTTTGCACATACAATCGTAACGCCATTTGAAACTACCACACCTTCACAACGAATCATTAACTGAAATAAAAAACGAACATAATACATATTTATGAATTAAAAATAAAAAAAGCTTGTAAAATAAAAATAAATATCTCATTGAATGTATTTTGTGGTCCTGAAAAGGACCGATTTGTATAAAATATGGTAGCGCAATGGTGGCCAGTTGATGCAGTCTCAACTTAAGCACGCTCGCCGCGAATGCGACGGGCCAACTGGATGTCCTTGGGCATGATCGTCACACGCTTGGCATGAATGGCACACAAGTTGGTATCTTCAAAGAGGCCGACCAGATAGGCTTCGCTGGCTTCCTGAAGAGCCATCACCGCCGAGCTCTGGAATCTCAAGTCAGTCTTAAAATCCTGAGCGATTTCACGCACTAGACGCTGGAAAGGCAGTTTGCGGATCAGCAGTTCGGTACTCTTCTGGTAGCGACGGATCTCACGCAGGGCCACAGTGCCGGGGCGATAGCGATGTGGCTTCTTCACGCCTCCGGTGGCTGGGGCGCTCTTGCGAGCGGCCTTAGTAGCCAGTTGTTTGCGTGGCGCTTTGCCACCAGTCGATTTGCGAGCGGTTTGCTTGGTACGAGCCATTATTGATTTGGATGTTCACTGCTGTTCACTTCACGTCTAAAAACACAATAAACGTTCGGCGCGATCGCTACCTACTTATATAGCAAAAGTGGAGGGTTGGAAAGAGAGAGAAGCAGACGCCATTTCATTTGGCGAGCCAAGAGCGAGGCGAACATATCGTTCGCACTCTCTCGGATTTCTTGGGTTTTTGGTATAAATAGGGGCACGCCGAAAAAATGGAATTAGTTCGTCAGTGACTTTCGTGCAGTGTGTTTATGTAGAAAAGAGTGAATAATGACTGGTCGCGGTAAAGGAGGCAAAGGCTTGGGAAAAGGTGGCGCCAAACGTCATCGCAAAGTGCTGCGTGATAACATCCAGGGTATCACGAAGCCAGCTATCCGCCGTTTGGCTCGTCGTGGCGGTGTGAAGCGCATTTCTGGACTCATTTACGAGGAAACACGTGGTGTTCTGAAGGTGTTCCTGGAGAACGTAATCCGCGATGCCGTCACCTACACCGAACACGCCAAGAGGAAGACTGTCACAGCCATGGATGTTGTGTACGCCCTGAAGAGACAAGGCCGCACCCTGTACGGTTTCGGCGGTTAAAAAAGCAGTACAGCTTGTACTTCATTCAACAATCGGTCCTTTTCAGGACCACCATTAAGTTTTCGAGAGGAGACAAATTTTCAAAACATTTTAGAATTTCTGCTTTTGTTAGCTGAGAATTCCAAAGTAGGTAAATATTCTTCGCGGCCGTTCGGCAGTTGCTAATTCAGGTAGAGAAATGTGCGGCAAAGCAACCACTCGCTTTGTTCAAGATAAAGCTAGCTCCTAAATGTATTTTGTGCAGACTGTACTGCTTCAGATGCAGGCTAACCGGATTGCTAATCCGTCAGATAGCGTTCTGTCATAAATTCGTATTAGTCCCAAGCATCTTAGAATTTTGAAGTGAAAAGAAACTCGGTAATATCGCAGTAAATTATTATGTTCGCTGCAAACAATTTTTTTTACCCGAAATATGAACGTTCTTTCAAAATACCCATTTTATTAAAAATACTTTTGCTCGCTCTATTTGAAAATCGTTACAAATCTTTGGTAAAAACGTGGTCGTCCTGAAAAGGACGGTTGGGTTTGTTTTTATGTGCAAGTATGTAGTTGGCTCTGCTTTTGGAACGTTTAAGCCTTCTTCTCGGTCTTCTTGGGCAACAGAACAGCCTGGATGTTGGGCAAAACTCCACCTTGGGCAATGGTGACGCCGGAGAGCAGCTTGTTCAACTCCTCGTCGTTGCGAATGGCCAGCTGCAGATGACGCGGGATTATCCTAGTCTTCTTGTTGTCACGAGCAGCATTGCCAGCCAACTCGAGTACTTCAGCGGCCAGATATTCCATCACGGCAGCCAGGTAAACTGGAGCGCCGGCACCAACACGCTCGGCATAGTTGCCCTTGCGGAGCAGACGGTGAATACGGCCTACTGGAAACTGAAGACCGGCACGATTGGAGCGGGACTTTGCCTTTCCCTTCACTTTGCCACCTTTTCCACGACCAGACATTTTGATTTGTTTCACTTAGTTCACTTAACACACAGAGAACGAATGCTAGTAAACATATGGAAGCCACATATTTATACTTTTTCGTCTGCTTGTGCGTTCAGTTAGGGGTAGTTTCCTTAGGCCTGAAAAGATTGCTCGAAAAAAGTATAAACATGAACGCGTTTTCGCTCCGTTATGATCAGTGAATTGTGTTTGTGAAATCATAAGTGAATATAAATAATGCCGCCGAAAACCAGTGGAAAGGCAGCCAAGAAGGCTGGCAAGGCTCAGAAGAACATCACCAAGACCGACAAGAAGAAGAAGCGCAAGAGGAAGGAGAGCTATGCCATCTACATTTACAAGGTCCTGAAACAGGTCCACCCTGACACCGGCATTTCGTCGAAGGCGATGAGCATCATGAACAGCTTTGTGAATGATATCTTCGAGCGTATTGCTGCCGAGGCTTCTCGTCTGGCTCACTACAACAAGCGCTCAACAATCACCAGTCGGGAAATCCAAACTGCTGTCCGTCTGCTCCTGCCCGGAGAGTTGGCCAAGCACGCTGTCAGTGAGGGAACCAAGGCTGTCACCAAGTACACCAGCTCCAAGTAAATATCTCTTGCTGCGTATGCGGAGAAAGAACCAAAACGGCCCTTTTCAGGGCCACAAAATATATTACCAAAAGAAACTACATTTTCAATATACCATTTGTCCTAAATATGTAACGATAAAATTAGTCTTTGTTTTTATATTTTAAAAATTAGGGATATATACCTAAGCTACGCTATATAATTTATAATTATTATTATATTATTCTTATGCATGGAAAAGGGCATGCCAAGAAGAAATCGCCTCAACCTAGATTGCACTGCGTTGCTAACTTTTGGTCAGCAATATTAAATTAAATTTAAAGATGTTACCAGCAGCACAATTTGTCAATTAAAAAAATATTAAATTTGTATAAATTAATTGATTTATAAGCTTAATGACTATAATTTGAATGTTTTTGAATTGAAAGTTTTTTTCTCTTGTTAACGAATGTTGTAGCCCTGAAAAGGGCTTGTTTAAACAAATTTCAGATTTGAAAATCTAAAATTGCGATTTTGAGCGCGGACTGGTACAGATACTGTACTTTTCCAGTTTACTTCTTAGCAGCCGTAGTCTTTGCTTTCGGCTTCTTAGCGGTAGCAGGAGCAGCTGCTTTCTTTATCACCTTTTTGGGCTTAGCTGACGCCGCTGGTTTGGCCTTGGGTGCTTTGGCCACCTTCGGTTTCGCTGCGGTAGTTTTGGCCTTTGTTGCTGCTGGTTTTGCCTTCACGGTTCCAGTTTTCTTGGCATCCTTGGCTTTTGCCTTCTCGGTTTTCTTTTTCTCGGCGGTCTTTTTGGTGGCCACAGCCTTCTTAGCTTTGGGCTTCTTGTCAGCAGCTCCGGCAGCTTTCTTGGCGGTGACACCGGTCTTCTTAACGGCTACCTTCTTGCTTTTGACCTTTTTATCAACAGACGCAACTTTTGGCTTGGGATCCTTCTTGGCCGAGGCTGACAGTTTAAATGAACCAGACGCACCCTTTCCCTTTGTTTGGATCAGCTTTCCATTGACCACGGCCGATTTCAAGTACTTCTTGATGAATGGAGCCAGTTTTTGGGCATCGCATTTGTATGTGGCAGTGATATATTTCTTAATTGCCAGAAGCGAAGAGCCGCCACGTTCCTTCAAGTTCTTGATTGAAGCGTCCACCATTTGCTGAGTTGGCGGGTGCGATGGTGGTGCAGTCGGCTTCTTTGCCTTTGTGGCAGCAGATCCAGTTGCCTTTTTGGCAGCCACCTTTTTCTCAACTGGCGCTGGTGGGGCAGCCACTGGGGACGCGGACGTTGCAACTGCAGAATCAGACATCTTTGTTCACTCGAAAACACTTTTTTGTTTAGAAAATGGCGCGCGCGCTTGCCGGCGACCTCCTTCATTCGGATGAGAATCGAGGAGGAGAGCACTTTAACTATGGGTCTGACACCAGTCATTTGCTGTGCAAATGTTTACTTGAAGTGCAAACTTATTTTCCTGTATTTAGAGTTTAAAAACTTTATTAAAAACAAAGTATTTATTTTTTCACATTCTTAAATAATCCATAAAGTTCTTAGCATTTTTTAAATTTTAATATTTGGTTTTGGCAACCTTTTATAGCTGAATGAACTTGACCATTGACATTTGTAACATGAGCAATTTTTTTTAAAACCTATTTTAAAATAAGAAATCTAACAATTACTTGTACAATTGTCAATTAAAAATGAAATTTAAACTTTTTCTTTAAGAAACACTGAAAATATACTTACTTTTCATTAAAAAAGTTATTTTATTACTTGTTTTAAGTTGAGCCTAGGCTACATAAAAAGTTGGCTTTCAAGGGAGAAGCAGCCATAGTTTTCGGAATGAAAAAAATATAAATATTTTTAAATTTCATAGTTATTTGTGATTTTCTTAAGCAAATTATTTGTTTGCTTTAGTCGATTACATTTTTCAGATGTTTTTATTTGTAGTTTGTCCAAAAGAGGCTTATTTGTGCCTCATATATGAATCAAGTTAAAGTCACATTGAAGATTATGTCAACAAAAATTGAAATTTTATTATATTGTTATTCTTTTTTATTTTATTTATTAAATTACGTATTCGTTAACGTTGCGAAGCTATATTCAGCAAGTGTTTAACATTTTTTCGATTTTTTTGATGACGTTTAAAAGTGCAATAAAGTTCGTGCTTGTCCCATATAACCTTGCCCCTTGTATAATCCCACCAATTACCAACCGAAATAAAAAACACAAAATCTATCTTTTTTAATACATTTGATGTTTTATTAAATAAATATAGGATTCAAAAACGTTGCTAAGTTATTTTTAGAGTGATTTAAACAGTTTTTTGATTTTTCTATAACATTTGAGTGGTTTGTGCCTGTTCCACACAACTTTGCTCCCTATAAAAATCACACTATATTCAAGCCGAAATAAAAATATAAACTTGGTTTCGTTCAACAAATTGTTGTCTTTGTTTAATAAATAAATAATTTATAAACGTTGCAAAGTTATTTTCCGAATGTGTTTTTCAGTTTCTCAATTTTTTAACGACGTTTGAATGTTTAATATAGTTCGTGTTTGTCCCATACAACCGTACCCCTTGTAAAAATCCCACCAAGTACAGACCGAAATAAAAATGTGATCTGTTTTAATATATTTATTGACTCATTAAATAAACAAAGAATTTTAGAGTGATTTTAAAAGTTTTTTAATGACGTTTGAATGCTTATTATAGTTCGTGCTTTGCACATACAATCGTAACGCCATTTGAAACTACCACACCTTCACAACGAATCATTAACTGAAATAAAAAACGAACATAATACATATTTATGAATTAAAAATAAAAAAGCTTGTAAAATAAAAATAAATATCTCATTGAATGTATTTTGTGGTCCTGAAAAGGACCGATTTGTATAAAATATGGTAGCGCAATGGTGGCCAGTTGATGCAGTCTCAACTTAAGCACGCTCGCCGCGAATGCGACGGGCCAACTGGATGTTCTTGGGCATGATCGTCACACGCTTGGCATGAATGGCACACAAGTTGGTATCTTCAAAGAGGCCGACCAGATAGGCTTCGCTGGCTTCCTGAAGAGCCATCACCGCCGAGCTCTGGAATCTCAAGTCAGTCTTAAAATCCTGAGCGATTTCACGCACTAGACGCTGGAAAGGCAGTTTGCGTATCAGCAGTTCGGTACTCTTCTGGTAGCGACGGATCTCACGCAGGGCCACAGTGCCGGGGCGATAGCGATGTGGCTTCTTCACGCCTCCGGTGGCTGGGGCGCTCTTGCGAGCGGCCTTAGTAGCCAGTTGTTTGCGTGGCGCCTTGCCTCCAGTCGATTTGCGAGCGGTTTGCTTGGTACGAGCCATTATTGATATGGATGTTCACTACTGTTCACTTCACGTCTAAAAACACAATAAACGTTCGGCGCGATCGCTACCTACTTATATAGCAAAAGTGGAGGGTTGGAAAGAGAGAGGAGCAGACGCCATTTCATTTGGCGAGCCAAGAGCGAGGCGAACATATCGTTCGCACTCGCTCGGGTTTCTTGGGTTTTTGGTATAAATAGGGGCACGCCGAAAAATTGAAATTAGTTCGTCAGTGACTTTCGTGCAGTGTGTTTATATAGAAAAGAGTGAATAATGACTGGTCGCGGTAAAGGAGGCAAAGGCTTGGGAAAAGTTGGCGCCAAACGTCATCGCAAAGTGCTGCGTGATAACATCCAGGGTATCACGAAGCCAGCTATCCGCCGTTTGGCTCGTCGTGGCGGTGTGAAGCGCATTTCTGGACTCATTTACGAGGAAACACGTGGTGTTTTGAAGGTGTTCCTGGAGAACGTAATCCGCGATGCCGTCACCTACACCGAACACGCCAAGAGGAAGACTGTCACAGCCATGGATGTTGTGTACGCCCTGAAGAGACAAGGCCGCACCCTGTACGGTTTCGGCGGTTAAAAAAGCAGTACAGCTTGTACTTCATTCAACAATCGGTCCTTTTCAGGACCACCATTAAGTTTTCGAGAGGAGACAAATTTTCAAAACATTTTAGAATTTCTGCTTTTGTTAGCTGAGAATTCCAAAGTAGGTAAATATTCTTCGCGGCCGTTCGGCAGTTACTAATTCAGGTAGAGAAATGTGCGGCAAAGCAACCACTCGCTTTGTTCAAGATAAAGCTAGCTCCTAAATGTATTTTGTGCAGACTGTACTGCTTCAGATGCAGGCTAACCGGATTGCTAATCCGTCAGATAGCGTTCTGTCATAAATTCGTATTAGTCCCAAGCATCTTAGAATTTTGAAGTGAAAAGAAACTCGGTAATATCGCAGTAAATTATTATGTTCGCTGCAAACAATTTTTTTTACCCGAAATATGAACGTTCTTTCAAAATACCCATTTTATTAAAAATACTTTTGCTCGCTCTATTTGAAAATCGTTACAAATCTTTGGTAAAAACGTGGTCGTCCTGAAAAGGACGGTTGGGTTTGTTTTTATGTACAAGTATGTAGTTGGCTCTACGCTCTATTTGAAAATCTTTACAATTCTTTGGTAAAAACGTGGTCGTCCTGAAAAGGACGGTTGGGTTTGTTTTTATGTACAAGTATGTAGTTGGCTCTGCTTTTGGAACGTTTAAGCCTTCTTCTCGGTTTTCTTGGGCAACAGAACAGCCTGGATGTTGGGCAAAACTCCACCTTGGGCAATGGTGACGCCGGAGAGCAGCTTGTTCAACTCCTCGTCGTTGCGAATGGCCAGCTGCAGATGACGCGGGATTATCCTAGTCTTCTTGTTGTCACGAGCAGCATTGCCAGCCAACTCGAGTACTTCAGCGGCCAGATATTCCATCACGGCAGCCAGGTAAACTGGAGCGCCGGCACCAACACGCTCGGCATAGTTGCCCTTGCGGAGCAGACGGTGAATACGACCTACTGGAAACTGAAGACCGGCACGATTGGAGCGGGACTTTGCCTTTCCCTTCACTTTGCCACCTTTTCCACGACCAGACATTTTGATTTGTTTCACTTAGTTCACTTAACACACAGAGAACGAATGCTAGTAAACATATGGAAGCCACATATTTATACTTTTTCGTCTGCTTGTGCGTTCAGTTAGGGGTAGTTTCCTTAGGCCTGAAAAGATTGCTCGAAAAAAGTATAAACATGAACGCGTTTTCGCTCCGTTATGATCAGTGAATTGTGTTTGTGAAATCATAAGTGAATATAAATAATGCCGCCGAAAACCAGTGGAAAGGCAGCCAAGAAGGCTGGCAAGGCTCAGAAGAACATCACCAAGACCGACAAGAAGAAGAAGCGCAAGAGGAAGGAGAGCTATGCCATCTACATTTACAAGGTCCTGAAACAGGTCCACCCTGACACCGGCATTTCGTCGAAGGCGATGAGCATCATGAACAGCTTTGTGAATGATATCTTCGAGCGTATTGCTGCCGAGGCTTCTCGTCTGGCTCACTACAACAAGCGCTCAACAATCACCAGTCGGGAAATCCAAACTGCTGTCCGTCTGCTCCTGCCCGGAGAGTTGGCCAAGCACGCTGTCAGTGAGGGAACCAAGGCTGTCACCAAGTACACCAGTTCCAAGTAAATATCTCTTGCTGCGTATGCGGAGAAAGAACCAAAACGGCCCTTTTCAGGGCCACAAAATATATTACCAAAAGAAACTACATTTTCAATATACCATTTGTCCTAAATATGTAACGATAAAATTAGTCTTTGTTTTTATATTTTAAAAATTAGGGATATATACCTAAGCTACGCTATATAATTTATAATTATTATTATATTATTCTTATGCATGGAAAAGGGCATGCCAAGAAGAAATCGCCTCAACCTAGATTGCACTGCGTTGCTAACTTTTGGTCAGCAATATTAAATTAAATTTAAAGATGTTACCAGCAGCACAATTTGTCAATTAAAAAAATATTAAATTTGTATAAATTAATTGATTTATAAGCTTAATGACTATAATTTGAATGTTTTTGAATTGAAAGTTTTTTTCTCTTGTTAACGAATGTTGTAGCCCTGAAAAGGGCTTGTTTAAACAAATTTCAGATTTGAAAATCTAAAATTGCGATTTTGAGCGCGGACTGCTACAGATACTGTACTTTTCCAGTTTACTTCTTAGCAGCCGTAGTCTTTGCTTTCGGCTTCTTAGCGGTAGCAGGAGCAGCTGCTTTCTTTATCACCTCTTTGGGCTTAGCTGACGCCGCTGGTTTGGCCTTGGGTGCTTTGGCCACCTTCGGTTTCGCTGCGGTAGTTTTGGCCTTTGTTGCTGCTGGTTTTGCCTTCACGGTTCCAGTTTTCTTGGCATCCTTGGCTTTTGCCTTCTCGGTTTTCTTTTTCTCGGCGGTCTTTTTGGTGGCCACAGCCTTCTTAGCTTTGGGCTTCTTGTCAGCAGCTCCGGCAGCTTTCTTGGCGGTGACACCGGTCTTCTTAACGGCTACCTTCTTGCTTTTGACCTTTTTATCAACAGACGCAACTTTTGGCTTGGGATCCTTCTTGGCCGAGGCCGACAGTTTAAATGAACCAGACGCACCCTTTCCCTTTGTTTGGATCAGCTTTCCATTGACCACGGCCGATTTCAAGTACTTCTTGATGAATGGAGCCAGTTTTTGGGCATCGCATTTGTATGTGGCAGTGATATATTTCTTAATTGCCAGAAGCGAAGAGCCGCCACGTTCCTTCAAGTTCTTGATTGAAGCGTCCACCATTTGCTGAGTTGGCGGGTGCGATGGTGGTGCAGTCGGCTTCTTTGCCTTTGTGGCAGCAGATCCAGTTGCCTTTTTGGCAGCCACCTTTTTCTCAACTGGCGCTGGTGGGGCAGCCACTGGGGACGCGGACGTTGCAACTGCAGAATCAGACATCTTTGTTCACTCGAAAACACTTTTTTGTTTAGAAAATGGCGCGCGCGCTTGCCGCCGACCTCCTTCATTCGGATGAGAATCGAGGAGGAGAGCACTTTAACTATGGGTCTGACACCAGTCATTTGCTGTGCAAATGTTTACTTGAAGTGCAAACTTATTTTCCTGTATTTAGAGTTTAAAAACTTTATTAAAAACAAAGTATTTATTTTTTCACATTCTTAAATAATCCATAAAGTTCTTAGCATTTTTTAAATTTTAATATTTGGTTTTGGCAACCTTTTATAGCTGAATGAACTTGACCATTGACATTTGTAACATGAGCAATTTTTTTTAAAACCTATTTTAAAATAAGAAATCTAACAATTACTTGTACAATTGTCAATTAAAAATGAAATTTAAACTTTTTTCTTTAAGAAACACTGAAAATATACTTACTTTTCATTAAAAAAGTTATTTTATTACTTGTTTTAAGTTGAGCCTAGGCTACATAAAAAGTTGGCTTTCAAGGGAGAAGCAGCCATAGTTTTCGGAATGAAAAAAATATAAATATTTTTAAATTTCATAGTTATTTGTGATTTTCTTAAGCAAATTATTTGTTTGCTTTAGTCGATTACATTTTTCAGATGTTTTTATTTGTAGTTTGTCCAAAAGAGGCTTATTTGTGCCTCATATATGAATCAAGTTAAAGTCACATTGAAGATTATGTCAAAAAAAATTGAAATTTTATTATATTGTTATTCTTTTTTATTTTATTTATTAAATTACGTATTCGTTAACGTTGCGAAGCTATATTCAGCAAGTGTTTAACATTTTTTCGATTTTTTTGATGACGTTTAAAAGTGCAATAAAGTTCGTGCTTGTCCCATATAACCTTGCCCCTTGTATAATCCCACCAATTACCAACCGAAATAAAAAACACAAAATCTATCTTTTTTAATACATTTGATGTTTTATTAAATAAATATAGGATTCAAAAACGTTGCTAAGTTATTTTTAGAGTGATTTAAACAGTTTTTTGATTTTTCTATAACATTTGAGTGGTTTGTGCCTGTTCCACACAACTTTGCTCCCTATAAAAATCACACTATATTCAAGCCGAAATAAAAATATAAACTTGGTTTCGTTCAACAAATTGTTGTCTTTGTTTAATAAATAAATAATTTATAAACGTTGCAAAGTTATTTTCCAAATGTGTTTTTCAGTTTTTCAATTTTTTAACGACGTTTGAATGTTTAATACAGTTCGTGTTTGTCCCATACAACCGTACCCCTTGTAAAAATCCCACCAAGTACAGACCGAAATAAAAATGTGATCTGTTTTAATATATTTATTGACTCATTAAATAAACAAAGAATTTTAGAGTGATTTTAAAAGTTTTTTAATGACGTTTGAATGCTTATTATAGTTCGTGCTTTGCACATACAATCGTAACGCCATTTGAAACTACCACACCTTCACAACGAATCATTAACTGAAATAAAAAACGAACATAATACATATTTATGAATTAAAAATAAAAAAGCTTGTAAAATAAAAATAAATATCTCATTGAATGTATTTTGTGGTCCTGAAAAGGACCGATTTGTATAAAATATGGTAGCGCAATGGTGGCCAGTTGATGCAGTCTCAACTTAAGCACGCTCGCCGCGAATGCGACGGGCCAACTGGATGTCCTTGGGCATGATCGTCACACGCTTGGCATGAATGGCACACAAGTTGGTATCTTCAAAGAGGCCGACCAGATAGGCTTCGCTGGCTTCCTGAAGAGCCATCACCGCCGAGCTCTGGAATCTCAAGTCAGTCTTAAAATCCTGAGCGATTTCACGCACTAGACGCTGGAAAGGCAGTTTGCGGATCAGCAGTTCGGTACTCTTCTGGTAGCGACGGATCTCACGCAGGGCCACAGTGCCGGGGCGATAGCGATGTGGCTTCTTCACGCCTCCGGTGGCTGGGGCGCTCTTGCGAGCGGCCTTAGTAGCCAGTTGTTTGCGTGGCGCCTTGCCACCAGTCGATTTGCGAGCGGTTTGCTTGGTACGAGCCATAATTGATTTGGATGTTCACTAACGTTCGGCGCGATCGCTACCTACTTATATAGCAAAAGTGGAGGGTTGGAAAGAGAGAGGAGCAGACGCCATTTCATTTGGCGAGCCAAGAGCGAGGCGAACATATCGTTCGCACTCGCTCGGGTTTCTTGGGTTTTTGGTATAAATAGGGGCACGCCGAAAAATTGAAATTAGTTCGTCAGTGACTTTCGTGCAGTGTGTTTATATAGAAAAGAGTGAATAATGACTGGTCGCGGTAAAGGAGGCAAAGGCTTGGGAAAAGGTGGCGCCAAACGTCATCGCAAAGTGCTGCGTGATAACATCCAGGGTATCACGAAGCCAGCTATCCGCCGTTTGGCTCGTCGTGGCGGTGTGAAGCGCATTTCTGGACTCATTTACGAGGAAACACGTGGTGTTCTGAAGGTGTTCCTGGAGAACGTAATCCGCGATGCCGTCACCTACACCGAACACGCCAAGAGGAAGACTGTCACAGCCATGGATGTTGTGTACGCCCTGAAGAGACAAGGCCGCACCCTGTACGGTTTCGGCGGTTAAAAAAACAGTACAGCTTGTACTTCATTCAACAATCGGTCCTTTTCAGGACCACCATTAAGTTTTCGAGAGGAGACAAATTTTCAAAACATTTTAGAATTTCTGCTTTTGTTAGCTGAAAGTTCCAAAGTAGGTAAATATTCTTCGCGGCCGTTCGGCAGTTGCTAATTCAGGTAGAGAAATGTGCGGCAAAGCAACCACTCGCTTTGTTCAAGATAAAGCTAGCTCCTAAATGTATTTTGTGCAGACTGTACTGCTTCAGATGCAGGCTAACCGGATTGCTAATCCGTCAGATAGCGTTCTGTCATAAATTCGTATTAGTCCCAAGCATCTTAGAATTTTGAAGTGAAAAGAAACTCGGTAATATCGCAGTAAATTATTATGTTCGCTGCAAACAATTTTTTTTACCCGAAATATGAACGTTCTTTCAAAATACCCATTTTATTAAAAATACTTTTGCCTTAGTCCTCGCTCTATTTGAAAATCGTTACAAATCTTTGGTAAAAACGTGGTCGTCCTGAAAAGGACGGTTGGGTTTGTTTTTATGTACAAGTATGTAGTTGGCTCTGCTTTTGGAACGTTTAAGCCTTCTTCTCGGTTTTCTTGGGCAACAGAACAGCCTGGATATTCCATCACGGCAGCCAGGTAAACTGGAGCGCCGGCACCAACACGCT